TGAATCACATTTTGGAAGATAATCCAATTTTCTGTTAGGAATTTACTGTGATACTGCTTGAAGAGAATATAAATTACAAAGATTTATTACATTGTAAAGAAAACACTTATGTTAATTAAGAAGTGCATCATCCTCTTATTTATTACTTAAAACACTGAAAAAAAGATAAAAAAAAGAACTTTTTAAATTTCACTCTTCTTCGAGATATTCGGTTCGAATTAATTAAAAAAATTCCATTGCGAATTAAGAAAATAAAACTCGAAGATAAACAGACAAAGTCCGCCATTCGACAATTTTACAAATTTAATTAACCCAATAATTTCAAGAGAAATCGTTATAACAATTTAAAATTCAAATTCTAACTAAAATATAGGATACCCAAAAACTATTTTGCACGACTCATGATGCCAAGCATCAGAGAGAGCTTTATGATCGAAAAATTTTTTTTGTTATACTCGCTCCAGAAATTCAACTTCTGAGCGCTGGGTGGCGTCCGTAAAGGGACTCTTTTCTAGAGACTACCATACCGTCTTTTTTTCACGGCCTAGGCCGTGAAGTTTTACCCTCTCCTTTTTTTTACGAACTTTTCATGTACACCCAGACGAAATTGAGAGAGATTGTAAAAAAAAAAGTCACATTCTAGCGTACCGACCGATAATTTTTAGTCTTAGTTACTATTGAGTGGCGCTAATTATTTCTCTGCTGGCAGTTTATTACGAAGCGGACCTAATGTTAATAAAATAACAACAACGCCATAAATAAATACTAATAAAAAGTTATTTACATTTTCTGGACGTTAGCAAGATTTTAAAATTAATAAAAAGATAATTAATATAAAATTAATTTTTTTTGGCCTTGTGAAACTTCCTAAAATTTAAATATGTCATTATATTGCGGCTACGCCTCGGACATTAAAATTACGCCCGTTTTGAACCTTCCCGCCACAAACCTAAAGCTCATATCGAAATATCGTCGCTGTCAGAAAACCGCCACTTCACGGCCTTATGACATAAATATCTATTTCGCCTCATTTCGGCAACTATTTTTATTATTATATTCTTGTTAGTTCACGGAATCAAGATATTCTACATACTATTGTCAATATAATTTAATGGAGATTAATTTGACACTTTTCAAAAATTGATTTAGTGCAATAAAAACAGAAAAAAACATCAAAATAGGTCAACTAATTTTCCTGTTCATCATGTACGAAACTCCGGAAACACAGTAACTTGCGAAAAAATGCATCGATTGAGTTAAATTTTTTTTTTTTAATTCTTTGGAAGAATTGTAGGTCACCGAATACGAATGGCTAGGTAATTCAGTGTCGTTTCTGTACAATTAATAAAATAAAACAAAAACCAGAAGACTGTATATCTATATGGGGCATTCCACGCCAAATCGACCACTTTTGACCCTGACCCCTTTTGATTTGGCTGAAAGTTTACCATCCTTTTCTACCCTATCAAAAACGTCTCTCATAATTTTTTCAAATTTTTTTACCCAACCAAAAAAAAGTTCCGAATTTTTCAAAAAAACCGCTTTTTTATTTTTAAATTGCCATAACTTTTTCAAAAATTGGCTTATCGGGACGTTTTTTTTTTCAAAATTTTTGTTATTAAATGTTCTTTATGGAAAAAAATATAAAAAAATTCTTTAAAACTATCTTCATCGTTATTTTTAAAATTTTCAGAAAAAACTCCGAATTTTTTGATGAATACCATTTTTAGCTTCTTTTTTCTTTTTCTCATTCTAAACTTTGACACTTTTTATAGATATCATGAAATTTCCAGAAAGGTGTTTTTCCGATTTCTATTTGTTCTTTTCAATTAAAAAAAAAAAATTTTTTTCTTTTGTCGTATTTTTCATAACACCGGTCAAAAAATTTACGGGAATCCTTAAAAAACAAGAAAAAAGTATAGAACCAAAAGTTGAACATGTTAATCATCGAGAAAAATAATTTTTTTTAAAAACAAGGAAAATTGAAAAATAATTGTTTTTTTATTTATTGCTTAATAAATGGTAGGCATTGAAATAAACATTAATTAATATATGATTATAATGTCTCAAATGCAATAATTTTTAAACTCATAAAGAAATTTATTTTCTTGAACGTTTTAATATTTTACACAGTTTAGATTCTGTAGAGCTTGAATAATCTTTAACTAAGAGACAACCATTATTGTCAGGTATAACACAATGAACTTTTTGAGTTCCTACGATGGATTTTGTTTTTGCAAATCGAGTCGCCAAATTTTCATTTGCAACAGTATAATCATCTGAGGGTGAAAATTTAATCGTAATATTTGGCAAGTTATTTGGCTGAGTTGCCCATGTGAAAAGTTCAAATGGAGTTGTTATTTGGCGATCCACAGGCAATTGGAGACTGGCACGTGCGGCCATTCTCTTAAATGTTCCACCAATTCCATCACATGGCCCTTTTCCGTGCGCAGTAGCAAAAAAGTGCCATTCAGCTAAAATTTCAAAATCCTCTTCGTGACAATACAAGTTGACAAAATTTTTGATATTTTTAAACTGTTGAGGTGCACCGTCGGAAAGGTAATAAATTTTTCTCACATTTTCCGAAATAGTTTTTACATAACTTATGTACATTTATCCCACTAGAGGCGTATATGCATTATCGTGCTATTTTAGCTGTTTTATATATTTTTTTCACATACTTTATTCTATTAATATTTCATAATTAAATGAGCATCATGAGTCGTGCACTTTTGGATTTTCCAAATTTTTTTTAATCTTCTACAGAAAAGTCTTTATCGATTTCTCTAATCGTTCACCCAGAGTCTCGATAGTAATTTTTCACAAATAATTTATTCGGTTCAATTGAATTTATTTTTAAAAAATCTTCAATTTTTTTATTTTAACAATTTTGAATATGAATTAATAATAATTATATGAATTAATGAATATGAATTAATATCTTGAATTTGTAATTCAATTTTAAAAATTATACAGAACGAGTTATGAATTGATAAATTCATAAACTTGTGAATAATGAGGTTAAAAAATTAAAATTGAATTTTGATCATTACTTAAGAATATTCTGCGAGTTTGTGATCTATTGACTGGCAATTTTTTGATAACACACTAGAGATATAATATCACATATGCTTATAATGACATTAATTTTACCCTGATTGTTAAGCAGAATATGGAAGTAGTTCAATAATAAAAATTTTGGATGATTGATTTTTAAACTAATATTTCTTCAATTTAGACTTTAGAAAAACTTTTTCAACACAATTGACTTGATATATCATTTCTTAATGAACCAATTTACTCAAAATTTTGCATGAACCTTTTCTATATATCTCTCTATATTCCTTACCAGAAAAGTCAAAATTTTCTTTTAGTATTATTAAAAAATCCTGAAAAGTGAGGAAAAAATAGGCTTAAAATCGACTTTGGAAAAAATCAATTTTAGATAGACAACTTGCAAATTTTCACACAAAAGTGTTTTTTTCATTAAATCTAGAAAACTTTTTTTCATCAGGAAAGTTAATGAGGAAAATATTTTGATTTCTTCAGCTAGGAAATTAAATTACACAGAAAAAAAAGGTTCACTTGAACCAAGAAAATATTTTTCTTCCTAATTATTTTCTTGAGCGAAAAAAAAATTTTTTTTGACACAAGAAATTTCACTCATTCCAACAAAATTAATGCTCTTGCTTTAAAAAATACGTTTCTTGATCCAAGAAAATTTATTTAAGTCAAGAAAATCTTCTTGTTTTAAAAAAATTTAGTCTCTTGCTCCAAAAAATTTGGTTTTTGATAGAAGTAAATTTTCTTGTCTTGAGAAAATTTCTCTTTTGCTTCAAAAAATTAAATATCTCGGCTACGCCTCGGCCATCATACGCCAGGAAATCCAACTTTCTGGCCTTGGATCGTAATATACTATTTTCTCAGCTTAAGTAGGTGGTGCTGCTTCCCTAAAGTATCTAAAAATCTTGATCAAATTTAAAAATTAATTGTATCAAGTATTAATGATAATTTGAATTAAGAAAAAATTACTAAGACCAAGAATAGAATTTCAAGTAAAATTTTTACTTCGACCAACACAATTTCGGTCTTCCTTCAGGCACCCAAAAATTTTCTTGAGCCAAGAATTTTGTTCTCCAGTCAAGAAATTTTTCTTTCTGTGTATTTAAAATTTTCAACAAATTAATTTCTTATTACATCATTTATCATTTTTTTCAAAAGAAACTTTTTCTTTCAATGTGGATTAGAATACCTCAAGGATTAAATATACTGTCCAAAAATATCTTATGATGAATTTGGTAAATTTGTTTATAAACAAATTTTATTTGTTTTTTTTTTGTGTAATTATTTTTATGCATTTAATTGTATTTTTTTAAATGAAATGTGTTTCATTTCAATTTATGACTGAAAATATTGTTAAACAGGATATTAAGTCCTACACCCCAAAACTTAATAATAAAACGGTACTAAAATATTGAAAGTCTAAAAATTTCAATCTCTTTTCCTCGAAGATATGTTCGAAAAAATTCCATACTTTTTACTTACTAGAAGAGATTCTATAAAAACAGGATCTATTTAAAATTCCCGTTAGCGTAAAACATAAAATTATCCTTCATCGGACTCGGGAACTTCCTCAATCTCAATCTCAATTAAATGGCAGTTTGCAGGCAAATAAGACGCTATATTTATATCAACACAAGTGTAAAAGCAAGTACGCAATTTATCCATCCGTAATGTCAGTTTCTAAACAAAAAACACATCCAGAATTTATCATTTTATTATTTTTGTTATTTACGTCACAAAAAAAAATATTATCTTACAAACATTTTTTCACGATTTATACGTTAATTTATTTTATGCATGCTCATGTTTGAACTCACGTGGACGATTAATAATTATTGATTATAATTTAATTTTTTTAATTCTAATTAATGAGTAAAGCGCAGTAACAAATTTTTTATTAGTGGAACAATTAAATAATCAAAATTTTTTCTTTCCAGGAAAACACAAGGTGATAATTAGTATTTAAAAAATAATGGATGACATTAAAAATTTAACAATTGGAAGCGTACCAAGATACAATGGAGATGAGCAAGTGCAATTCATTGCGGAGGGAAGTAACCAGGTGACAATTAGATCGCCTCCACCTTCATTGCATCTTGAGAATCTCAACAATGCTGTCTTAGGGTAATTATTCATTTTTTAAACAAATAATGCTTTTTAAAGAAAAGAAGAAATTCCTTACCTTCATCTATGTAATTAAGATAATAGGAAAAATTTTATCTCCGGCGTATTTATAAGATAAAATGAATTTTTTAATTTAAATTTAGTATCATTAAAAAGGTCTTGAACTAAATTTGTGCTTTTTCAGTGTTTTATATATTTTATAATGATACTCAATTTTTTATGTTAAATTTTTGCAGGAATTTTGAATAGTTTGTTGGTTTTATATATTTGTTCCGTCACATTTGTCCATTCAGAAGATCCCCGCGGAGTAGTCAAATTTTTATAACTTCCTGAAAATTTGTAAATTCAATTGACGTAGCCTAATAAACAAAAAAAAGTTGTCTGTACTTTGGAACGGACCCACCTACGAACATGTATTTTGACCCGCTGAATCCGAATTTGAAGTCCGTTTGGCCCGGTCACCCACCAGTTTTGAGTAAAATGCAAAAAACCCCAAAAAAGGCAAAAAATTGCGAAAAACTGCAGCCACAGCGATAAAAAAATTTTTGTGGACCCGGATCAAGTATGATTTTTAGTAGATTTCATAAAAATCTAATTATTGTATTTGTCCTCATGACGCAAATTTTGAAAAATTTTGCTATATTCCGACTTTACTCGACGAGGTGAGTCAGAAAATACATATGGTTCAAAGGTTTATATATTTATGTATATATGTATATTAGAGTGTGCCAAAATGTATCTTCCTTGATGGACCTTTTAAAATTGGAATTTTGAGTTCCGCTTTAACAGGAGTTGTGTTTGGGCATTTCCTGACAAATTTTGGGCGTAAAGGATTTATTTGATTTTTATAGAAAAAGATATATATATATATATATATATATATATATATCGATATAACGCGGGGCTTGTCAGCACGATAGCGTCTACAATTCTTTAGGGATTTCAATGAAACTCAACATACTTATTCTATGAACGATTACGAAGGTCGAGTTCAAATTTGAGCCAAATCAGTCAATTAGTTTAGAAGTTACAGCATTTTAAAGTTTTAAAAATTCGAAAATTCCATATTTTTACCGCTTTTCCTTCAAATAACTTTTGAACGCGTCGAGATATTTGAATTCTGTAAAATGCATCTAAGCTCAGAAAAAAATAAGCTTTAGTTTACATGTTTACATATATTTCTAGACCAAAAAATATCTATTCTGGGTCCATTCAATGAAATTTTACTTTTGCAGTCGTTTTGTTTGGTTTGATGGTTGTAATTTAATATTATATTTAATATTGTAATCTAATATTAAATAGAAACATTTTCAATAAGTTGATATTAGAATTCTACTTACTGAATTCACACTAATGTAATAAAACCAGCAAATGTTTATTTCGAACAAAATTAATTAATAGTTTTAAATAAATTATTTAATTTTTCTTCAATTAATGAATTATATTACATATTATTATTAATTTTATTTTATAAAAAACAAATTTTTTTCTATTTGAGAAATCTACTTCCATTTCGGCTGCCGAATGCCCTTTTTATTATGTATTTCAATTGACTGAATCTAAATCTGAATGTTAATTAGGCCGTTTAACCGTCAAAATTAAAAAAAATAACGAAAAATCTAAAAAAATTGCAATTAATCATGAAAAATCGAAATTATCGAGATTGAAAAAAATTTTTTATTTGATTTTTGTATTTTGTTCCATTGAATTTGAATCTGAAATCTTGTCCCATTAACGTTTTAAAATTAAATCTCAAAAAACCAAAAAAATCGGGAAAATTGCAGTTATAAATATGAGAAAAAATCTATTAAACACAACTTTTAATGACTTGGGTGCATTTTCATAGATGGAATATAGTCTTAGAATTGAAAAATTGACAAAATTTTGAAATCTTTAAAAAATAGCATGTAAAAAGAGAAAATACGAAACCATATTTTCGAATTTCAGACTGTAGTTCGTTTGTATCGTATTTTTTTATCTTCAAATGACCTACGCAGTGGGTTCCTATTACGTTTTCTGTTTTCTTCTGGTATTTCTCTTGATAGCTTCCAGCAAAAATTTGACATTATGTTGATATTCTAATTTACTTGATACCTACCCTTCATTTTACTTATGTCTTGATGAAATCGTTTTCCTTATTCTTCGCTGTAGTCTCCAAGATTTTCAGGAAAGTGGTCGACGTGAGGATCCATAAAGTGTAGTTTGAGGTTCATTAAGCAACCTAAATTTTTGTAATTTGTCACCAATTCTTCTACTAACGTCCTGCAGTTTTCGCTTTCTTATTTCCTAAAAAGTTTTGGGACACATTTTTAAAAACTGAAATTTTCTCAAAAATGTTGTTAATTAATTTTAAGATGCATAACAAAAGTATTTCTACGTATTATTTTTTTATAGACATTCTTTACACTAGGAGGGTACTTGGACCTCCTTAAATTATTTGTAATTGATCCTGTCATAGCAAAGTTTCTTAATCATAATCCGTAAATGTCGACAGTCGCATAGCGATCGCAGGTTGCTAGTTTTAATTTATTAAAATTAATTATTTACGTTAAAACTACTCTTAGCTTCTAATTAATCAATACAAGAGTTTACAAACTAGAATTAATAGTAAAAAAAAATGGATGCAAGACAATAAACCTTGACCTTCATAGATAATCGATGATTGAAATTATTTTCTCTTGTTTGAATTTCTATTATTATTTTTATATTGTGAGTCAGATGACTAGCTTATGAATTGCAAATAATTACATACAGAGTCAACGGATCTAGAAGTGATAGTAATAAGCGTACCTTTTTTAGCTTCGCGTAAGGTCTTTCATTGTCCCGATGAGCCGCTTTTGGAATCTAGACATTTTTATCGCGCTTAAGGATTAAATTGTTAGAATATAGCGTACAAGAAAGGTCAAATACTGACACATGCGTCATAGCGGAAATATCTTTTTGTTGACTATTTTTTATTTTTTTTTCTTCCTGGAATGTCAATAAATATTTACTTGTAAATTGTTGAGTAAGTTCATTTGTTGGAAAGAAGAAAACAAATAAATAATTTATTTTTTATTTATGTTATTACATTTGATATAAATTGGAAAAAATTGTATTTTTAGCATGAAATATGATAGAAAATTTTACGGACAATTACGAATTGGTATTCTTAAGATTTTTCGAAAATTTTAGTAATTTTTGAAATATTAGCTTTTGAAATAGATCTTAATTTCAATTTATCGTGAGCTTTAAGCAATGAAAAAATTAAATATAAAAGCGTACAACTAAAAAATATAATTTGCACAAATTTTGTTTAATAAAATAAAATTTACAAATATTACTTTTGTAATAGGGTAAATGCACCAATTATTGACCGATTAAGGTTTTCTTTTTCTGTACTAAGCCATAAAAAATCTATTAACCTACTAAAAACAATTTGTAATGGATTTTATTAAAGTTAAATACTTAATTAATAATAATTAATAACTATTTATAATAAAAATTAACAAAATTATATTAATTTTGTTATTTGAATCTTGAAATACTAAAATCACCAATTATTGACCGAAGAAACCCAATAAATGACCGACCGTTCTCCAATTAATTGACCGCTGAAATAATTATAAGTAATTTTGTAAGATACATGTATGTAATTAAATTTATGCAGTACTTTTGAAGTATTAACGACATCTTTAACAAAACTAAACATACAATATAATTTTGAATCGTACTTTTTTATAAAATAATATAAATAATAGCAATAATTAACATAAAGTCACATTTCTTTAGGTCACAAATAATCACAAATTCATTTTGATGACGATAATTCTTCTGATTCACTTGAAATTTTATAGAATTCTTCTCCTTCTTTTTTTCAATTAAAGCTTTTTTACTAGCTTGTAAATCTTTTTTATTTTTTTTAATTGCTTAGCAATTTTTTCTTCTAATAATTCGTTCTTTGATATAACCGTTCACTAAAAAAATTAGAACAAAATAAAATTTAATAATCAAAAAAGATTTTAAGTATTATTTTAATTATAAATATACATTTTATAATGATTATTTTTATATTTACAAAATATTGAATGACTAAAGTACTTTAAACACTTGACAGATTTAATTTTGAGGGTAAGAAGTTAGTATTATAAATATACGGTCATTAATTGGATTGTGATAAAATCAGAGGGTCTAATAAATGACCGAATGAATTTTTTACTGGGTAAAGAGCTTCTGACGGATCCAATAGTTGACCGGTCTTAAAATAATATTAAAACTTATAATTTAACTATATTTTTTCAAAAAAGTTGGAATCTGATCTTTAATTAACATAATAAAACTAAAATATTTTATATTATGCCGATAAATATCACTAAATTAATGATGAAATGCACTCACTCTCCAATTGTACGCTAGTTATTTTTGACCGCACCACTTTAAGGCTGGTTGCGTTGTAAACAAACTCAAAATATTTTTTTAAAGCTATAATCACAGCGCAATTAATTGCATAATTTTTTATTATGATGATTAAATATCATATTTTTTTATTTTAATACTTTAAAAAAAAAAAAAACCCTTGTAAAATATTAAATAATTAACTTTTTTGTACATCGGTCAACTAATTGATGACCGGTCAACAACTGGTGCATTTACCCTAAAATGACTTGAGATTATTTATTGAGAAATAACTTTCAGAAATTTTCTAGTTTCGAATGAATTTCAGAAATAGAAAGTACAATCGAGTACTATATCGCAATTGGTGTGAAAGAAAAATATATCTTCAGAAATAATTAAAAGAAAATAAAACTGTTATTATTGTTTATTTATTGACTTGCACTTACTAAAAAAAAAATGTAATGTTAAGTCTTGGAAATGACATTAAATCATTGGAATTTTATTTTTATTTTTTCGAGTGGAAGTGAAAAAGTATGTCTGATTAATTATGGATGTATCCACTTGATTCTCAGACGCGCTATTTTTATTCAATCGACTTTTTATTCCACTAGTTTCTATTCTATTTTATAAATATTAATAATTTTTCTGTTTTATTTATCAGCTATATTTAAGTGCTATTTGTGTTGTCTAGCTATCAGTTGTTTTAGTGTGGCTATTATCGTGGAAATATGCAATTAAATAGCGGTACATTGCTGGGGTGAAGAATGTAATGTAAGGGATGTATATATACAGTTCCGCATACATTGTGGGCGATATTAGATGGTATGAGTATGCTTGCGCAAACAATTTATATTGTTCAAGATAATTGCACACAAAATTTACATTAATTTTATTTATTGTTCTATGCAAATGCAGAAAATTTTTTTTAAAAATTAATTTTTTCTACCAGGAATAATCATAAAAAAATGATAGTTTACACTTGGAATAATTGTACACGACAAATAGACCGTTATCTAAAAAGTCACACCAAGTTCAAATGTCATTGTTGAAACTGACGATTTAACGACTGAACTTTTCACTGTAATAGCAATAGTTGTAACCTTTTATTATCCGTTTTAAATGCCGTGGAGGAGATAAAAATATTTTACACACATGCTTGATGAGTTAGATAATGATGGTCGCTACATATAATTTAATTGTTGTTATAAAATATATAATAATTATAATTAGCTGTTTAAGCCAGCTATATTTTACAATAGAATCTACTTTCAAATGACAATAATTTTCAACCTACAACCTACTGTAAATTTTCAAAAGTTTATATTGCATTGTAAAGGCACGTATTGGATAAAATATTCTTTAACTTGAATAATTATTTATTAAATTTATTTCTTTTTTTTTTTTCATTTTATTATTATTATTTTATTAAATTTCGTATATACTCGTTATGCACAGAAGTACCAAAAAAAAAAAAAAAAATGAACTGCTTTACTTCATTTTAACTGGATTAAGTGGCGCCATCGTTTTCACATGAGGAAAATAAAGAAAAAAGAAAAAGTTCATTTTTCTTTCTGTACGTGTATGTCATAGTGAATTTCAATAAAAGTCAATTTAAAGAAAAAATACGTAAGCTAGGCTACTGATATGAAATACGGACCCAGTTCATCGCAATCTTGAACTAATAATCAAAACCCCGTCTCGAAATATCAATTCGTTCGGGAGTAATCGTTGGTACAAAATGGGGTGACATCCGGACGTCTACGTAAAATTTTTTTTGAAACTTTTTTTTTTCAAAATAACAACATGAAATGATTTTAAAAAGTGAAATATGGCTTAATTTAAGTGTTTTCTCGGTGTAAATATACTTTAATTATTGTATAAGTGTAATATGGTTGTGATACAGGCATTTAAAGATCGCAAAATTGCTTGACATTAACGAGTCGAGTGTAAAGCACAACCTCACGCGCTTCGCGCTATGAGGCGTGCAATTACAAAAAAATATAATAATTTTTTTAGTAAATCCTTATATAATAAATTAATACATTTTTTTGTAAAATTTACTTCAGAACATCAAATCATCCACTTTTTTATTGAGAATAAAAAAAATAATCATAATAATCCAACACAAGTTTTTATGTTAATATTCAAGCGAGCAAACGAGTCTCTGAGAATAAATTTATATAATAGTTGACCTCGACGGGTTTCTTGTACTATCGGCTTCTATCTATCATTCAAATAATTAATGGTTTTATTGATCTTTTATTTTTTTTATTTTATAATTACAATAATTAAATTTTTCCAAATATCTTAATGAGAATTTTGAAAATAAAATTATTTGCTCGTTAGTACGACCTTGAAGAATCTCGAGTGAATATCAAATTTTTTAGAAAAGAATTTTAATTTATGTGAATAAATTAATTTAGTTTTATGTTTTAGAATTTTTTAACGGTGACTTGCAAATTTTTATAGAATAAATAAAATGTAGATACAAAAAAAATTGAAACTTAAATTTTATTAATTATTTCTTACCTTCTGGCATAATTAAAATTATTTAAAGATTTTTTCCGTAATTAATTCTCAAATATGAAAAATAAATAACAATTAAAAAATAAAATTGGAAAAATTAAAGAGAATTTTCAATTTTAAATTTGATAATTTTTAAAATAAATAAAAAATTACATGAAGTACTATTTTATTTGAATTGTTAGTGAGAGCCAAGTTGAGCTAGACATTTTGGCAACACGTGAATAACTTTTATAGAATAATATATTTTATTTATTTAACTGGATTTTTTCATCAGGAATTTTGTACGGCTGCCAAAATTCAGTAATTCGAGTTTAATCTCTCGACTACAATATAACATTAGGCTTAAGTAATCCGTTATGTGAATAAATGAAATAATTAATTAATTTAATACTATGATTATTTTTGCAGAGGCTCTCAAAATAATTTACACTGCAGTTGCAATGGCACGAACCAAGCCCCCGTGAACGGAAACGCGGGAACGGGGTGCACGAGTGGCGGCCTAGCTAGGAAAATTCAGAACCACACGGGGGTGAGCCCGGGGCAGGTAAACAAGCGACCTGCCGTTTCACTCACCCACCTACCCAAGCGACCTGCTGTTGACATCGAGTTCAAAAATTTGGCCTACAGTGTTTCTGAAGGAAGACAAAGAGGTATTTTTTTTAGATAAATTAAAAAGAATTTTTCAAAATTTCCTAGATTTTGCTTAATAAGGTATATGCACACTCATAAAAAAAATAACTTGAATCAAGAGAAAAAATCTTAAACTAAGAATCATATTTTGAAGAAAATGATTTTCTAGGGTCAAAAAAAAAATTTCTTGAAATAAGAAATTATTTTTGATTTAAATACATTTTTCTTGGTTCAAAATTTTTTTTTCTCTTTGAAAATTCCATAAGCCATTAGTAGTTATATATCGTATACACTGGAAAAAAAATTGATTTGAATCAAGGGAAAAATTTTTGAATCAAGTGAAATTAACTAAAATCAAAAATAATTTCTTAGTTCAAGAATTTTTTTATTCAAATCAAGAAGATCAATTCTTCAAATTTATTTACTTGAATCAAGTAAATTTTTTTTTTCTGTGGACTAAATAAATGTATTAATGGAAAAATATCTAAAAATTTAAATATCATAATTTTTATAATTTAATTGTTGAGTGTGGCATTTGAATAAATTTCTAACTATTTTAAAAATTCACACAGATTTTCTTGAATTTAAATACTAATTGTTATTTATTTTTCTGACATTTAATTCCGATCGTTAACTAAATAAAGTTTAATTTATCACATATACCATTTATTACTTACAATTATATTGATATGAAATAAAAAAAATTTAATTATCTAATTAAATACATGTAGTTTAGTAAGATTATTTTGTATAAAAAATACGATGGTAAAACTTGAATAAAACTATTAATTTAATTTATAATTAAAATATATTTCATCATAATTCAGAATCTGGAATATAAATAGATGATATAAAACTTTAAATAATCTTTTTAAAGTTTATAATAATAAACTTACGATAACTTGAATGATGAAAAACTCTTGAGTGAACAACTACTACTACTGGTGCATTTTTCTTTAATCTGACCATGAGCATACTAAGAAATAATTAAATGTAATAAAAAGTTTTTTCCTTAGTATGCTCATAAGCGAATTTAGCAAAAATCAATGAATTTCGATAAAAATTTTTCCACCATCCTTATACCACAAAATAGTAATTTTTTTCTCATTAATTATCTTTATTGTATATACACTGATAAAAAAAATATCTTCATTCAAGAAAAATATTCTGGCTGCAAGAAAATTATTTTAAAGAGAACTAGTTGTCTTATTTCAAGAAATTCTTGTCTTGATTTCATGTTTCTTGGAGTGAGAGATCTAATCACTCCGATCGAAAACATTTTTACTTGGTTCAAGATTATATTATCTTCGATCGATACAAGTGAATTCTTCATTCAAAAACGATTCTCTTTAATAAAGAGTAATTTTATTTCATTTAAAAAATTATTGATTGTTGATTCAAGAACAAATTTTTTTATTTATAATGTTACAAGTTTAAGTCAGAAAAAAACTTTGAAGTAAAAAATCTTGCACCAATGTTACCTTCTATCTTAATCCAAGAGAAAGAAATTCTTGGGCGAAGTTGTATATATCTTATTTTAAAACAACCAAGTTTTTTGACTCGAGAATCTATTTCTTAAGTTAAAAAAATTGAATTAGGGTAAATGCACCAGTTGTTGACCGGTCACCAATTAGTTGACCGATGTATAAAAAAGTTAATTAATTAATATTTTATAAGGGTTTTTTTTTCTTAAAGTATTAAAATAAAAAAATATGGCATTTAATTATCATACTAAATAATTACGCAATTAATTGCACAGTGATTATAGCTTTAAAAAAATATTCTGAGTTTGTTTACAACGCAACCAGCCATAAAGCTGTCAAAAATAACTAGCGTACAATTGGAGAGTGAGTGCATTTCATCATTAATTTAGTGATATTTATCGGCATAATATAAAATATTTTAGTTTTATTATGTTAATTAAAGATCAGATTCCAACTTTTTTGAAAAAATAAAGTTAAATTATAAGCTTTAATATTATTTTAAGACCGGTCAACTATTGGATCCGTCAGAAGCCCTTTACCCAGTAAAAAATTCATTCGGTCATTTATTAGACCCTCTGATTTTATCACAATCCAATTAATGACCGTATATTTATAATACTAACTTCTTGACCTCTAAATTAAATCTGTCAAGTGTTTAAAGTACTTTAGTCATTAAATATTTTGTAAATATAAAGATAATCATTATAAAATGTATATTTATAATTAAAATAATACTTAAAATCTTTTTTGATTATTAAATTTTATTTTGTTCTAATTTTTTTAGCGAATGGTTATATCAAAGAACGAATTATTAGAAGAAAACATTGCTAAGCAATTAAAAAAATAAAAAAGAGTTACAAGCTAGTAAAAAAGCTTTAATTGAAAAAAAGAAGGAGAAGAATAAAAAAATTTCAAGTGAATCAGAAGAATTATCGTCATCAAAATGAATTTGTGATTATTTGTGACCTAAAGAAATGTGACTTTATGTTAATTATTGCTATTATTTATATTATTTTATAAAAAAGTACGATTTAAAATTATATTGTATGTTTAGTTTTGTTAAAGATGTCATTAATACTTCAAAAGTACTGCATAAATTTAATTACATACATGTAGTTTACAAAATTACTTATAATTATTTCAACGGTCAATTAATTGGAGAACGATCGGTCATTTATTGGGTTTCTTCGGTCAATAATTGGTGATTTTAGTATTTCAAGATTCAAATAACAAAATTAATATAATTTTGTTAATTTTTATTATAAATAGTTATTAATTATTATTAATTAAGTATTTAACTTTAATAAAATCCATTACAAATTGTTTTTAGTAGGTTAATAGATTTTTTATAGCTTAGTACAGAAAAAGAAAATCTTAATCGGTCAATAATTGGTGCATTTACCCTACTTAAAACAAGAATGACATTTTGAAGAAAAAGTTTTTCTTGAATCAAGTCATTTTTTTATCAGTGTATATTGCCGATTAGCGTATATTAAATAAATAAATAAATATATTTTATTGATTAAATTGAATAAGAAAAGTATCTTACAAATCTATTGATTGATTGATTAACAGGCTATAAAACGATACTGAAATGTGTCAACGGAAAGTTTCGGTCGAGCGAATTAACAGCGATAATGGGTCCATCTGGAGCAGGAAAAAGTACTTTGATGAACGTGTTAGCTGGATACAAGTAAGTCAATTAATCTTCTTCCTTCACCCGATTTGCGGTTACTTTAATTATTACTACTCTCTAGAATTACCGACCAATTATTGGTCAATTTATTGCTAACCAGTGACTGAATGACCAATTATATTTATAGAACGTCGAACTTGAACGGGTCGATACTGATAAATGGCAAGGACCGTAATCTGAGGCGCTTTCGAAAGATGTCCTGTTACATAATGCAGGACGATCGATTGTTGCCTCATCTGACGGTCCACGAGGCGATGATGGTCTCTGCAAATCTGAAGTTGGGCAAGGACCTGGACGCCTCGGCGAAGAAAGTCGTAGTCGAAGAAATAATTGACACCCTGGGCCTAAACGACGCCAGCAATACGCACACCCAGTGCCTGAGTGGCGGTCAACGCAAACGTCTGTCAATTGCATTGGAATTGGTTAATAATCCACCAGTAATGTTCTTTGACGAGCCGACGTCTGGTCTTGATAGCTCGTCTTGCTTCCAGTGCCTCAGTTTGCTCAAGTCTTTAAGTAGAGGAGGTGCGTTCTTTTATTTCATTTTTATTTTTCATCATCTACTTATTATAGACCTTTATAGAAAAATTATCTTGATCCATAAAAGTTATTTGGAAAATAGAAATCAAGAATTTTGTATCTTGATCTTTAATTTCTTGGCTTAAAATATTTTCATCTTCGGTCGATAACTCTGGTCACTTATTTTCTAATATCAATAAAGAAAATTTCTCCAAAACTGAAAACAATCCTGATAGCCATCCTAACTAAAACGTACCCGAAAGCTACGGCTGGAATTTGAAGCTAACTTAACACAAAGAGTTGAAAAAGCGAAAGTTTTGGTTAAGTTAACAGTAAGTTGCTTCGCAACTTGACATCAAGACTTGCGTTTCAGTCCTTGGGGTAAATTTGATCAAAAAGTTAACTACAAGTATAATGTCAAAACTTGCATTCACATTTTGGCCATAGATTTTCATCAATTTATGTACAACTGTTATTCAGCAATAACTGTTGTATACTTGACATTAAGGGTATACGGAAAAAAGTAAACAGTAAAATTCACTCGGATTCCGGTTAATTTTCATAGCTTCAAACAGTACAGCGGAAATCAGGTTAATATCGAAAATGTGATTAGTAGCTGTCACTATAGTAAATAACGACTCGCTCTCTCTTAAAAAATTATAGTGTCAAACAGTAAAAATTGCCGTTTCAATATATGGTCAATCGCATTGACGAAAAAGATAGTACTAATGCTTTGCTAGAGCATTAACTTTACAAATGAGAAGAAGGAGAAAGTCCCACATTCGGAGAATTTAACAAGCGAAACAATAAAAATTCTACTCTTGAAATGTATATTTTACCAGTCCAAGCAAATCAATAATTATAGTTTCATTTTTAGCGTTACGTTTAAAATTTACCATTTTACTTTGTAAATATGGACGTTGCTTGTATAGAAATTTAGTAACTGTATTTTATATTTTTTATATATCATGCGATCATTTTTAAGTACGAAATGACAAATGATGAATAAATATCAAAGTCTAAATTCTTAATTATTTATTACAGTTTATTTTTTTTCCGTATAGGCCGTAGTAAATGTATATTCTGAAATTTTGTTTTTCTAATAACTTTGTCAAAAAAATTTTCTAATGAACTATTATAAAGCTTCCGAAATAACTAGTCACATTTTATTTTTCGAAAACTTCATTTCATTTGATTTCAAAATTTATTCAAGACGTAAATAGGAATATAAAATTTCGAAAAATTCATTTACTACGGCCTACCCTTAAGTAAATTGTAATAATTGAAAATTGATTTCTAGTTGAGAAAGGTTGGTTACCACGGAAGATAAGAATTAAAAAAAAATTTTTTCTTTTAAACAAAATTGTTTTTTATTTTTATTAACGCGATTTTGTTAGCTTGGTCTGTACTATGTAACAGAATCTTTCGACGTAATTTTTACCGATTTTAAGACATCTAATTAATTTGAAAATTAATTATGCAAATTTGCATACGTATCACGAACCAACGACCATACAAAGTCCTGACTAGGATCAGCAGGATAATAAATGAATTTTGATTTATCGCTCTATTCTTATTGTTAATTTATTTCAAATTATTTGCTACTTATATGGAGAATATGTTGATAATAAAAGAGTTGAAAGATTGTGTTGATAATATAAAAGCGGGGAGCATATGTTGATAATAAAGAGTTGAAAAAGACTCGGTATAGCGGAGACGTGGAGACAATCAGCCTTGTAAAAACCAGAAAACGGTATACAAGTAAAACTCATAATAATAATTATTTGCTACTTTTAATATTTATTTACTATTGAGCCGTATTTTTTAATTTTTAAACTACAATTTAGTAGCGTTTTAAGTTGTCGTTGAATAATTCTAAACAATAAGGAGTTCAAATTATTTCTTCTTTTAATTTAAAATTGATTATATACTTTTAATTTCAACCATAAATAATCTAAACTTCTTTAGAATTACTTCCAATTATTTTCTCATAAATAATCAACTGTTCTATAATTTTTATCAACTGAAACAGAAACAGTTGTTCCAATCCCTAATCTTAAACTATCTGTTTCAGGAAGAACAATTATTTGTACGATACATCAACCTAGCGCGCGTTTATTCGAAATGTTCGACAACTTATACTTACTAGCCGAAGGACAATGTATATACCAAGGAAACGTTGGTGGACTAGTACCATTTTTATCATCAATGGGCCTTGAATGTCCCAGCTACCACAATCCCGCTGATTATGGTAGGCTACCAAAAGCTGTATAACCTCAAAACAAAGCAAATGCATATTATAAACTAATCGCTAATTAATATAAAACTTTTCTTCTCTGCAGTGATGGAAGTAGCCTGCGGTGAACACGGAGAATGTGTAGAAAAATTAGTAACTGCAGTAAACAACGGTAAATGCAACAATTACCAACACCACCAGTCGACATTCACTACTACGATGGTGGCGAATGACATTGCGAAGCAGTCGCCACCTACTGTACAAACAAAAGCTGAAGAAGCTGCTACTGGTAACTCACTTATTCCCAATGGTATTCCAAAAGGCCCTGGAGGTGCAACGGCGCTTAACATGCCGGTTTCTTGCACCACTTCTTTGTTAGACAGCGCCGAGAGTATAGAGCAGAAAGTTGGGTTTCCCACCAATGGCTGGACCCAGTTCTGGATTCTTCTTAAGCGGACATTTTTGTCGCAGATGCGTGATATGGTAATTTCACTTTTTTGCTCATCATTTTCTTAATAAAGAAGAAATTAACTAATTAAATACTTTTTACAGACATTAACCAGAGTGCGGCTTATATCGCACATTATTGTCGGTCTACTTATTGGTGCGCTTTATTATGACATCGGTAACGAGGGTGGAGAAGCGTACAGTAATGCCGGTTGTATATTTTTCACTGTTATGTTTCTGATGTTTACTGCCATGATGCCTACGATACTTACTTGTAAGCACCACCTTTTTTTTTTTTACAGACAATTGTTAAAAAAGTTTTTAACTTTGGTTTTTGTTATTTCAGTTCCAACAGAGATGGCAGTGTTTGTAAGAGAACATCTTAATTATTGGTACTCACTGAAAGCCTTTTATCTCGCGAGAACAGTCTCCGATTTGCCGTTCCAAACGGTATTTTCAATAGTCTACGTAATGATTGTCTACTTCATGACATCCCAGCCATTAGAGACTTACAGATTTTTAATGTATCTCAATATTTGCATTCTCACGTCCTTCGTTTCGCAGTCTATTGGTCTACTAATTGGTGCTGCAATGAGTGTAGAGGTAATTTTGAATTTTTATAACTTACAAACAGTAATTTACCCATATATTTCAATTATCTATTAGAATTTTAGAAAATTACACTTTTGTTCTTGTCAGTAAATTATTATTTGAGAATAAGGAAGAAACTCTCAATCGTTTTAATTTAACGAGGCACTTTATTGTTTCCTTTGTGGAAATAATTCTCTGAAAAAACTCTTGAAAAAGTTTTTACAACTCTGAATAAGACTTTTCGAAAGTCTTCACATCCTTAACTAAGTAAAGAAAATACTTAATAAGTCTTCAAAACTCTTTAAAAGTCAAATTTTCCTTAAATTAAATTTTACTTAATTTAAAAGAAAAACTTTTCAATTCAAGAAAAGAGCCGGTCCTTTTCATTCAAGAATTTGTCGTCTCAACATTTATTTTCTTAGCTTAAGAAATTCTAAATCTAAAAATTAAGAGTTCATTTTTTTTTTTTTCTTAATTTGTTTAAAGTCGCATAAACTACTAAGGTCATGAGCGACTACGGTAGGGGGTAAACTTTTGAGATTGGAACTCGTTTTATTTCTTGGGCTGAGCAAAATAATACACTTAAATATTGAAAATATTAATTGGTGTACGCCGGACTCGAACCCGGTCCAATGCTTTGGTAAGCAAGGGCCGGATCCGATAGGCTACTGCGCGCCTAAGAGTTCATTATCTTTATTGTATAGGTCAAATTCAACATTGAGAAGCATCATTCTCAAAAACTAACAATTTTGTCTTCCTTTAAAAATTTTATATTCTTGGTTTAACAAAAAATTTCGTCATTCAAAATAAAAAAAAAGCTTAAAAGAAGAAACAAATATTTAACTTGAACTCATTCTAAAACGTACTTGAGACACTCATTTTTGATGTCATAGAAAACAAAAGAAAACCAAGAATTTTTGGTATTAACCCGTCAGAACTCACGTGAATTTTAGTGTCTCACTTGCACTACAGCGCCGCTCTATAAGTCGGATGTTGTTGCGTGAGCAAAATGCTCATAACGTGAGTGCTGACGGGTTAAAAAAAAATAGCTGATATTTTAAATTAATGTTTCCGCAAGTTGTAATCATCAAAGAAGTATAAATGATCTGTATAAAGCGGCTATACGGAAAGATCATTTGTGAAAAATTAAAATTAAAATAGTGAGTTAATTGTGAGTTAACATTTTCAGTGAAATATAAGAAGATTGAAAAAGACTTTTATTGTAGAAAATTAAATTTTCTAAAAAATAAATCTCTTATAAATTTTTCGTATCTCCTGTGTTTGATTCAGAATTCAAATTCCAAATTTTTATAACTTTTTCATAGAATATAGGCTATCTTGTTTGAAAATACCAAAGTGCTTCATGTTAACTTTTTTCTCTGAAGGTAGTTCACCCGGGACATATTGTATTGTGCTATTTCTTCTCTTTTCACTCGCTAGTGCTGCCTTTCTCACGAGTTATCTCTTATTCGCTTTTACTAATGGTTATTTTTGTTTAACTAGCCAGTTTATTAACAATTAAAAAACTACATGATCAAAATTTTCAAAATTTTTTTTTTATTATTTTAAGTATATTATTCTAACAGGTATCAGTTTTTTGAATCGATCGTAAAATACTTTCAATGCAATAACCATTAATATTTGTGATTTTCTCACTCTCCACCCATACTGTCTGTGCTAAAATGTCATTTTTAATTACAATTATCTCATTTCTGGTATGGTCAATTGATTTCAAGTTTCAACAGCATATGAAATGTGTATTCTATTACCCATATTTCAAATTTCAAAAACTTCTTAAATTTTTGTATTTATGACCGAACTATCTTAATTCTCAAATGATTCGAATGGAATGTCACGAAACAAGAGTAAAATTTTAAAGATCATATTTTTGACTGAAAAAAATTCTTTAGAATTTCCAACAATGTACTTTTTCTCAAGAATAATTTTTTTTGTTTGAAGAATTAGTTCAATTGATTGAAATAACTTTATCCAATTCATATGAAGCCTTGTTAGTATTTTAATCCTTATCTGGACATAATTTTTATTGTTTCACAGTGTTCTTGTGAGCATTTTTATTTTTTAGTGTATTCTTTTAACAAACCTATCTTGATTTAATCCTCAGAGAAAAAATGAGAGAAAAAATTTCTTTTGAAAAAAAAAAAAAAGTAATCTTGTAGTAAGAAATTAATTTGTTAACAATTTTATTTCTTAGCTGAAGAAATAAAAATTTATCTCACAGTAACTTTCTTGAAAAAAAGTTTTCTAGATTTGAAAAGAAAAAAAAAAAAATACTTAAATATCCCAATTTTCTGAATTTATTTCTTCTTTCTATCCGTAAAACTAAATACTAATTAACCAATATTTTTCAGAGTGGAATGTTTATCGGACCAGTATCTTCAGTACCAATAGTCCTGTTCTCCGGGTTCTTCATAAAGTTCAGCGCGATGCCGAACTACTTGAGTTGGTTGTCCTACGTATCCTACATCAGGTACGGATTTGAGGGTGCGATGATCACCGTCTTCGGATACAACCGACCCCGTCTAAAGTGCTCTATCGAATACTGCCACTTCAGATCTCCGACGAAATTCCTCGAGGAAATGGCGATGCTGGACGCGGTTTACTGGATCGACGTCGTCGCTCTCATCGGATTTCTTTTGCTTCTCAGGATCTCAACTTACTTTGTCCTAAGACTAAAACTTAGATCTCTCCGCTAATCTCTCTTAAACTCACTCGACAATAAACAATAAACAATTACCAATTATTAAAATAACGAAATAAAAATCAATCAATCAATCAATTTAAAAATATTAAATCCCGCCAAAAGTTTTCAAGAGGAATTTGTCGAAGACTGAAATTCTAAATGTTCTGAAGACATTTTTAAAAATAATACGCGATAAATTATTAATAATAAATATAATAATAATAATAATAATAATAATAAATAAATAAATAAAATAAAATAATAATAATAAACAATTAATAAGAAATCGTTGGAGGAGAGAGAAGTTAAGACACATCCTAATTATTTTTTTTCTTTTTGACGAATGTACTCGAACGCGGAATTGTAATTATTAATTATTCATTAATTGAGATCATTAAAATAAAAATTAAAGAAAAAAAATTAATTAAAAGAAAAGATTAGTGTGTACTTGACGAAAAAATAACTCGCCAGAGGCCTTAAGAGCCTAATAAGACTTTATTTCCCTCCACGGTCTCACGATCGATAAATTAGGGATCGATTAACCAACATCTGGAGTCCCTAGATATATTAATTTAATCTATATATAAATAAATAGTCTATTTAATTATTATTAATTATTATAATTATGATTTTTAATGAAAAATATTGAGAGTTGCATACTCGATTAACTAATTGAATTAATAGACGTAAATTAGATAAATAAATTGCTTTTGGTAATAGAATAATTACTAAGCAATCGTGATTGTATACTCGCTATAGTTAATTAATTAACTATTAATAAATAATATGGTGGAAATCATAATAATATTAATCGCGGATTTTTACGGTTAATCTACTCATCATTTATTCGCAGTCTCAATATAAATCATATCGTGGGTATTTGGAGGTTTCGAGTACTGGTAAACCGGTATCACATTTTAAATTGACCAATCACTGGCTGCCTGGTTAATTATCGCTTAAGAAGTTGCATTTTCTGTGAGATCAACGAATTAATTTAATATATATACGTTTTTATTGATTATTAAATAACGGTATTGATCCTCTGGACGAATTAATTAATCACACATTAAAAAATTTTTTGATCCATTGACGCAAAATTTTTTACTGTGCAAGAAAAATTTTAAAGCTGTGACTTTGATTAGTAACGTCATTTTTTGCAGTCGCGGAACCGGTGTTCGAATCCTGATGGTGGTAAAAAAATTTATTTTTATTTAAATTTAATATTTTGGTAAAGAATTAAATTGTAAGAAATTTCCACAGTATAAATATGTTTTTTTAATCCTGAATTTAATAAAATCAAAATTTTGATTTTTAATTTAAAGATGCAAAAACGTCCAGAGGATTGAAAAAAAAAAATAAAAAACATAATTGAGGTCTTGCGTAATAATAATAACAATTAAAAACTAATGATACATAAAAGTGCGAATGAATCTAGAAATAAATTTTTTTTACTAGGCATCGAAACCATTAATTTTTTTAGTAATAATTAGCACATTTATTTTTATCAATTACGTAACCAATTAGTGTAGACTTTTAACTAAAAAAAAATCTCATTTTATTTATTAACTCTTAAATTTATAATTATATAAACTAAGTTGTAGATTTCTTGCCTAATTAAGTAAGAATTATGGTGCACGGAATATTTTTTTATGTTTCAAATATAAACTATATAGATTATTATTATTAATTACGTCTTATATTTAATTGTTTAGTAGACATATTTTGTGATAGCGCAACCCAGTATTTAAAATTCAATTTAATGTTAAAAGCTTGAATTTTATTTTTTACGCTATTTTTATTGAATCCTATTAATTAATGTTGATTGCTATTATGGATGTCATAAACATATGGTGGTAATTTTATATTGTTTTGATGAATAACAATTATTAAATAGTCAAATTTTATAAGCTTGATAATTGTTTCTTTTTTGTATTTTTAAATTAATGAAATTGTTATACGACCTTGATCTTTAAAAACAAAAAACAGTGTCAGTTAATCATACGATCACAAACAATACCAAAAATAATAATAATATTAATAATGATACCTTTTTCATGTAATATAATTTTTTATGACAGAAATAAAACGATTGGAATAATAAATTATCCTGAACGTTGTAAACGTTTTAATAATGTACACGTGTAATAATGATAAATAAAAACAAAATATACCAAAAACTAAATATTTTGATTGTTCATTTTCTTCATGAAAAATTTTCAAGAAGAATAAAAAGGTATTTTCTTTAGTTTTACATGTTTCAATGCTTCATCCTATAAAAATTATATTTAGAATTTTTTTTTAAGCGACCACTTTTGATCTCGACTGTTTTCGATTTGGCTGAAAATTTTTTATCCTTTCTTAAATGTTTTTTTTTTTTTTTTTTTATCAAATAACTAATTTTTTCTATAGAAAAATTTGGTAATTCTTTTGATTTATAATGTCTTGTTAAAGTATATACCATATGTGAATTCATTAAGTCAAAAACGTCAATTCAACTAATTCGTCAAATTTCATTATTTTTTGCTGAGTACTAATGATGCTTTATAGAAAAATGACAAACATATCGACAGCCTAATTAGTAATTGGTAATTCCTTATTTTTTAGAGGGTGATTTTTTAACATTTTTATGTAACAATAATCTAATTATAAATTATTTAAATGATCCAAACCAAAATATTATGATATTAGGTAGCACGGAAGCTGAAAGAAAAGCGTACTAACAAATTAAAATCACGTATTTGTTACTTGTGGTTGAAAATCGAAGTCAAGGAATACGTTCAAAAAAAAAAAATAAATGAAAATTATGATAATAAATTACCAACTGCAACTATTAACAATGATTCCCTAAAAATTGGACTCGACGCTAAAGAAGCAACTGATCATAAAGTAGTAGAAGATAATGAAAATGATTATACAAACTCAAAACATAATCTAGCTACTGAAAATAATGTGATAAAGACTCAAGACGAAGGAGAAGGAAAAGGACTTGGACAAACGTATTCGGCAACACATGATAAAGTCTATAACTTTATAGTGAAAACGATTGTGATAAAAACATTAAACCTTACAAATATCGGATTTAATTTTTGCTTTCAAAATTATTAATGGACACATCGACTCTCCAGAGATTTTAGGGAAAGTAGGAATCATCTGTTCAACGTCAAACTTAAGAGCAAATCGATTAATAGAGACAATTAAAACTACCAAAAGTTATATATATATAATAGCCCAAGGAATAGGATCGCTAATCTAATCAATGATAACTGCTCGCACCTTGAATTATTTGAATTATTTAATCACATCGTTTGTATCATCGGTTAAAAGACTGCTTCTAACCAATAACCACTAGCCTCTTAAAAAGTGCAATTTCATTTCATCTTGAAATAACTACTCTTAGAGATATTTTTTGTATAATATTAATAATTTAAACTTATAAAGTAAATGAAATTGATTTAATACAATTTAATTTAAATTTAATTCTATTGAAATGTTAATACTCTTTTTACCTATTTTTATTTTTATTTTCTTTTTTCACCCATAACCAAATTTAATTTATGTAAATCTAATGTATAAAGCCGATTGGCGTATGAATAAATAAATAAACTTAAATCGGTCTTATAATGATATTTCAGAATCGGATAATTATAAAAGAAAAGTCATATTTCATGAAAGGAATGCCCAATCTTTTGATAATAGAAAATCTGAAAGGGATAAGAAAAAGTTTAAAAATCTTGAAAAGATAGTTTTACCGTCTAGTATAGTTCCGAATCGCAGACGGGGAAAAAATTGAAAGTTCTGAAAATTTAGATGCTTCGAATGGGAACATTTCAAGATCATCACATGAAAATATTTCGGCTGAAGCCGAAAAAAGTGATAATGACCCCATAGAAGATCATGGAGTTGCTGCAGAAGAAAATGATCGGATCGAGGAAGAAAAAGAAGATGGTACTATAATCAAAGAAGTAGAAGAGAAAGGATTAGAAGTTGATGAAGACATAAGTCCTCCAATTGCAGTGGAAAAATCCAATGTGAAGGCAAGAGACTTAGTAAAAAGTGATGATGGTCCTACAAAATACCATGGAACCGCTGAAAAGGAAGATAACGAGCGGATGGAAGAGGAAGATAATAATGAAATCAGAGAAGTTGAAAAGAAAGCATTAGTAGATGATGGAAATAAAAATTATCTAATTGCTGTGGGAAAATCCAGTGTGAAGGCAGAAAATGGGGCAAAAATTGATAATGGCTCTACAAGGGATCATGGAAATGCTGAAAACGAAGATGACGATCGAATGGAAAAAAAAATAAGATGATAATGAAATCGGAGAAGTAGAAGATAAAGCATTAAAAGATGATATTATCTTTTAATATTATCCGATTGCAGTTGGGAAATCTTATGTAAAGGCAGAAAACGTAGAAAAAGATAATATTTTAAACAAAAATATGATGAGGAAAGTCGCTAAAGATCTCATGTTTGAATGGGAGTGGAATTGCGAAGCTAGTGCAAACATATGACAGTGTGGAGCTAATAAAAAAAAGGCAGTAGGTATTTTATGGAAGATGTACTGCAGAAAATCATAAGGCTGGTTTTAGATTTAACGTTATTCATGTATTCATAAATCAAACATTTATCTATGAATTTCATGGATCATGTTCAATAAAATCGTCAACGTACTGTTCGACAAGTAACAATAAGAAGCATAAACGAATTGCTGGCGATGAACGTATTAAAATGAAAGAATTGTTGAGAGGTAGCACTGCAAGTCATTTATATTATAAAGATATTGAAAATTGCGATGAAGATTCTTATAATGCAGGCAACATCCAAAATTCAAAGAAAATTAATACACTTCATAAAATAAAATCCGAGGGCAAGAATGCAGACAGCAAATAATTGGATAACTCAGAGTACGTAAAGCTAACAAAATTTTTTATAGATTTAAGTGCAAAAGGAGACTCTCCATTACAAAGTATTTCAATACCATTAAAGATTTCATTGTATCACAAAAACCAATTGGTAATAATCGAAGCAAATATACTAATAATGTTTGCATTTAAGTGCGACTATCGCTGGCTATGCAGTTCCGCAATTCGGTGAAATCAGCGACGTATTTGATTACACTTTTTTGTATGCAACTTCAGAAAAGAAGTTACCAGTGGCAGAGTTTATAACGATTGATAATAAAATGGTTGCGCTTCAACACTTCTTTCGAGAATATAGGGCTTTCGTTTATACACAAAAAAGAAGATGGCCATACTTTAATCAAGTTGTTGTAGATTGGTATTGGCCATTCATAGAAGGATTAATCGCTACGTGGAATGATAGTCTATAGATGTTGACAAGTATTTATTAAAAACTTACAAATATATAAAACAAATAGAGCCACTACCAGCGATTGTATTAGTAGTTTGTACAACAGAATCTACTATCCGACAAATATCCATCGACATAGATCAATTCCAGACTGATATTCGCCCTTCTTCGATTTTTTTATTAACTTTTTTTTTGCCAATGGGCCTATGGGGGTAGTTTTTGGATTTGATTTTGCATTTTCTATACTGTCGATTAATAAAAAAAAAAAAAAAAAAAAAAAAAAAAAAAAAAAAAATTTATATATAATGTTACTATTTTTCGCAGAATATTCACTTCTCGACTAGACTAATATATTTTTGAAACAACTAAGAACTTACAATCACATGCGGCTACCTAGCCGATTTTAAATATATACATATATATATAGCTATCGAAAAAAATAATTTATAATAAATTATAGTATAATATTTATATTTTTTATAAATTATTGTAATAAAATTTAACGAATTGATAGACATATCTATACTATATATATGTAGCTAATTAATATTTTTCCCAAAATCGGAAAAAACATTTTATGAAATTACTAAAATTAAGTTTTAAATAGAAAATCACTTTTCTTATTATAATACTATTAACGTAAGCGCCTAAATTGTATTAATCTATTGTATTCATTGTGCAGGTAGTCTCCAGGTTTAAGAAAAATAGATTATCCTTTTGTTATTGTTTGTAGTCATCTTTGTAATACCTACCCTATATAAGTACTATAAATTCTTAATACTAATGTCTAATGATAATTTTAATGACCATTACAATGTTCTGCAAATTAAAAAGCCGGCTACCGACTACCTGACGCCTAATAGCAGTTGATTTGGGGATCTAGTCTGGAAAAAAGGGAAGTAGGGGAA